CCGAAGCACCCAGACTAAGTGCAGATTAAACAGTTCAAGAAGGTGCAACAAGGCGTCTACACAAAAGCCCAACGTGTCTGTCCTTTCTGAAAACAGGCAGGCAGAAAAGCCTGGCAATACCAGCCACAGTACAAATGAACAGAGCCAGCACAGTCAGGCACAGGACCTATTGTCCTACAAGTCACTTCCCACTAGTTCTGCCTCTCTCCCTGCATTATTTTTCTGTAGCCATAATAGTTTAAAGATAGAGGAAGGACATGGTTTGTAGACAGATTTAGCATTGTATCAGGTAGAAGGGATGTAAAAACTACACAAGCTTTCAGAAATACAAGTCATTCTTCAGAACCTTGTATGCCCAAAAGCTTGTCTGTCTTTTCCAATTACACCAGCTTGCTTTAACAAAGAGACAGTATTTCTGCCAACAAACGCCTTGTCTTCTTCGTGCAGTGACAGAAAAGAAAAGAGATCTGCAGTACCACGCAGTTTACAACAGTGTATGTCTTGTACCACTGAGGCTTCTAAAGCCAAAAGGCATCATCATGGCATCATTCTACTTCAAGATTTTTTAATTATTCACCAGTAACAATTGTTCCAGCTGTGTCTGAAGGCAATATTTGATACAAGGGATCCATACTATAAAGAGTCACATGCTGATTCAATTTTTCTGTCCAGGAATCATAATAAAAATCACATTTAACATTCAAATGCCAGTTACATTAAAACAAAGTTTAAACAAACACAAAGTTTTCCTGTATTGTTTTTCTGTGTTCTTGCCAGTGACACTACAAATCAATAAAAACTACTGAAAAGGCTTATTTGTTTGGGTTTTTAAGAACAATTGTTTTTAAAACAAATTTATTTCCTAAACAAGCAATAGACTTCTGGAAAAAATCTGCTCTGCAAGATGCATACAACTTCAAAAAATGGGACAGGATAAAGAAAAGCTTTCTTTCTTTTTAAAACAGGAAAAAACATTTTTTAAGCTACTTCTGCTCTAAACCAAAACAAAACCAAGAACTGTGCAGACTTCAATAACTAATGTAGTATGAAAACCAACACTGAATATATTGAGTATTTTTAAAGGACTGTGTTCCTTGAAAAGCTAATTCATTTAACAGTCCAGCTGAGATATATTTACATCCCTATCTACTAAAACTTGTGCTAAATTAACAGGGTGGCTTTTTTGCAGCTGTAAACATGTGCTTGGTACATTCAAATATGTACAATGTAACAGAAATGTAAATAAATATGTATGATAAATGTAAATAATTTCCTTCATCATTACAGTAAAAAATGTAAAATGTATATGCTCAATAATGTATTCAGCTTGTTACTTAATTCACTGCATCTAATTTGCATATACTTGTAATACTTTTTAATGTTTCAGACTAGCAATTAGCATACTGAATCTTATTAAATATATCAAAGATGTCTTTTTAGTTAGCACAGTCAAAAGCAAATGTACACCTGCAAAACATTTTTTTAAGCACTAGTAATTTAAGAAACATTAAGTGCCATAAAAATTGGCATCATCTTAATACGCTAGGCACAACAGAAACCATTAGAACAAACATTTACAATGGCACCATCCAACCAATTAGATTTGCAGACACCTTACAAATATTTCACTGGAAGGAAAATCTCTATAAGGCTTCTAAATTAAGTTTGGGCTTTTTTTTGTAATTATCTCTCATAGAGCCCCCTGAAAATCTCTCCCCAGAAAGCTCAATATGGATAAGATACTGAAAGCTTCTATCTCTGTGGCACTATTAAAAAATGCTCAGCCTGGCATGCTTCAGAGCCTATTGGTCACACATTTTATATCACAAAATGCATTATTTTCACCCCTTGCCACAGAATAAATGGGAATATGCTTATTTTAATTCTGTGATTCTCCTTAGTAACTACAAAAAAAAATAAAGGGGTTGTTGCAAACTCTAACAACCAAATGAAGTAATTGTAGAAACACAAGTGCGGCTCACACTACAATGCTTTTAATTCTCAATTTTTGTTCAACATGATGAGTCATTCAAATCCAGCACTGAAATATTCATGTCAGTAATTCAGTCCTGGGGATTCCTCATTCTTGTTTGTTCTGATAGGTTACAGGCATGTTATTAGAGTCAAGAAAATATACCTAAAAGATTTCAGTGAACCTCTTCAGCAGTCACAAAATGATTGCAAAAATACATCACAAGTATTCACCTCCCTGACTCGCTTAAAAGTAGTCTCACATTCTTGCCAGAAACACAGGCATATTATTTCTTCTTCTAGATTTTCACTTTAAAACTGAAATACAATGCAGTGCTCTGCCCACAGCATATTGTTAACTACATCCCAAATGGAAAGTATTTAGCTTCTATATTGTCACCCTTCCATTCTGTTCATTTCAGCATTTTGTACTTAATAATCGAATGCATACTAATGTTCAAGTATCACTGTACGACTGAAAAGCAATAAACTTCACTTGGCACCTTAGTTTTATCCCATACAAAAATATAGTTATAAAACATCATTCATTATATAAACCATAAAATACATATAAATCACCATTTCTGGGAACAAGATAACACAATATGCTTCTAGAACTGGTCAGCAAATCAAACAGGCTCTTTTGAGTTTCAAGCCAATCACAATCTAAGGGCCCATTCCGTGCAACAAACGTGGCTTTAATCAGGCACACATACCAGGATGTGTTTGCAAAATCTGCATTTTCCATTATGAACGGTGATACACAGTAGAGATGCTTTTGACTTGCTTTTTAACACGAGAACAGGAAAACAAAATATTCACTTCTTTTTAATGCAAATATTAGCAATAAGCACTGCTGTTCAATATTTTCCTTCAAGAATCTTTCAGCAGATAGATTTAGAAGAAAAGGTGTTTTCTAAAGAAAAAAATCTCGCTGTACATTCAACTATATGTCTTTAACACTCCTATCTAAATCAGTGGGATTCTCCTATAAAAAGATTAAATCCAGTAAGACTGGTGAAGAGCTTTGTATAACACATCATCCTATAAGAATGAACTTTTATTTACAATGATGGTCAAAAAACCATGACAGTAGGAAAATCTGATAGCAGCCACAGACTCATCACAGAAAGCCAGTTCCACTAAAGCCACTTCTCTCTTCCTTCAGTCACATCCCACCATGTCAATTTTGTTTTACAGAGACGTAAACTGGCAGTCTCTACTCTGGTCATTGACACAATTCCTGCTATCAGGAACATTACTTACAAGAAAACAAACTCTTTATTAATGACAAGCTTGATCCAAACAACAACAACAAAAAGATGCAAACAGAAAAGTTTCATTTCATTTGAGTCTCTCTCTCATGCCAATCACTGTCAGCTGAAAGGATGTGCAAACAGCACAGTTAAATCCACACAGCAATGATGCAGTGACCCAGAAAGAGACTCTAATGGCCAGCTGAGTACATAAAGCAAAACTAGCCAAACCCAAAGGGCAGCATGCACATGAGCATCTTCTCCACTTCAGTGGGCACATACTGAAACCTAATATCGTACTTCCAAGTTCTGCAGTAAGACTTCCCATTCCTGTAAAGAGCACTACCTATATTGTTCCCAAAACACATATTACACAAAAGAAAAAAAAAAACCAAGTTCCCAGGTTCACAGGAAACTTAGATAACAAAGTATGGAGAAATGAAAAGTGATTGATTGTTGTGTCATACACTTAAAATATAAAACACAATTTGTAGTTGAACATTAAACCAACAACCAGCTGTCATTCAAACCAAAATGCTGGATTCAAACATCATTCTTCCCTTTGGGAAAATGTGGCTGTAATTTTTTTGAATGAGCCTGATACAAATATATACATGAATCTGTCTTTCATCTATACATACAGAAGTCTGTATGATGCACCCACACACCTTCATACACACAAAGCAATTATTTCATACTAAGTATTTATTGGCTGCTTCCTTTTTTCCTCAAAAGATTTTAACAATGTTACACAAGAACCAAAACTACCCCCTTCTGAAACTTGGGTGCAGCTTGTGTTCAAAGGACAACATATATTCCCATAGTCCACCCAATAAATAGCACAAGAGACAAGAAAAAACACATAGTATCTTTGTGTTTCATTTCAGTATTTAAAATGTCATTCCACCCACCAATCTAACAGCAAATCGTCAATTTGGACAGATTCTTCTGAAAGAGCACATCCAAACGCATCCTAACTAAAAATCAGAAACAAACTAGGCTCTCCCTGTTGTATTAGACACTTGGTATGCTACTGGGCATCCATCACCTGCACTTTCCATGAAGCAGTATACAGAGAAACAGTTGCATGCCAGGAAGGTGATAAAGCACAGCTAAAGTATCAGTTAATACCAACAGATTTATGACTTTCAGAAAACATAAATGGAAAAGATTTTGTATCAATGTACACAGGACAATGCCTTGCACACTGAAGTTATGGCATTTTACTGCAAGGCACCTCAACATTTCTCTGAAAGTCACATTTGACCTTTTTTCTAACAAAAGGGAAAGTTTTTCGAGCCATCTCCTGTCACAGGCTGTTCCAGTTTGCAGCTTCTGAAAATCTGGCAGACTTCAACCAACCTTTTCTCCCATTGCTCTGCCTTTCCACTAGTCTTCCAGGTCAGACTTTACTACTGTGTGAAAGCAGTCAACTAGCACAACTTCTAACTTCCATTAACATGCATTTATTGCATTTGCCTGGAAGGAGGCAGGCGCTGGGGAATGAAGGAGAAAGTATGCCAAACAAACCCAGACATATTTCCAGAGAACCTCCCACCATCAGTCTTATATGCTTGATTTTACCAGAAAAACTCCAATTGAACCAAATCACATTGGGATTAGTCTTGAGCATCCATCATAAAACTCTGTCAAATTCCAAGCAGAAATACTAAAACAAACAAACAAACAAAAAAAAAAACCACCAAAAAACAAAAAAGGAAGAAAGAAAGACAGCTATTATTTTCTTGAAAGTGTAACACACATTTTGCTTACCTCACTGTTGTGGCCCCTCAAATTGAAGTTGATTCTCTGAGGGGTGTTCCGGTCCCTCCTGCAATGGCTGGAAGTAAAAGTGACGCCTACAACTCCTCTGCCATTGCCTGTTGCCAACCAGCCTTCCTCATAGTACCGCCTCCTGCACACCGGTTTCTCCTTCTCACTTTTGGGGACTCTGCCTTTCCAGGAGAGGCAGAGGATGTTGGAATCGCTGCAAAGAACAGGCCCATGTTCCACTGCTGCATACATGCTTTTCAAATCTTTTATTTTTTGACATAAGAAAGTAATATGTCTAGTGCACAAAATTTAAATCAATTTTTTTTTTTTATTGATAAGACTGACCTGGGATAGATCATTGAAAGGGAGGAGGATGGGGTCAGTGTTTATAAATATCCACCAAATGCATAGTGAAAAATTCCTCTATAAAAGATGATGGCAGTTGGCTAAGAAAAAGTAACACTTAAAAAAAAAATTCAGGTTCATTTTTGTTTTGAGTCTGTAGAGTGGGGGTGCACTTATCCTTTGGAGAAACAGCTACTTCATAAGAGGCTCTCAAGGAATAGTTAAGTCATCTTTTTGCTCAACTTGATATAATCTTTATACAGCCTGAGATTCCAGTTTAGCGTAATGCAATTCCAGAGACAAAGAGTTGCAAATGTATAGGTTTCAAGTAACTTAAGGCTTTTAAAATTTCCTCCAGTCAGATTTTCTTCAAAAGTTCAGTTGCAGAAATTTAAACACACGCACATACATATACATGTATATATATGACATTCCTCTTTTCCAAGCTGCCCTCTGGCATATCTTTTCCATCTGATGTATTTCTGCTGCTAAAGCTGAAAGAGATTGCATAAAGGGAAAAAAAGGCACACAAACCGTGTGAAACAACAGACCCGAACTTGTGCAGGCACTGGTGTGCCAGGCCAGTTGGGAAATCCCTCTTGGTACTGAACCGTTCGTTGGACTCAAAAGTTTTTGCAATCCAAAGCCAATCCAATTTTCATCGCAGCACTTTTTTCCACCAGAGACCCAACACAGCCTGAACTGTTTATCACGCTATCTCGCCTGCTTTCCCACTTTTTGCTGCCACACACGAATGAAAAAGAACCCCTCTTCATTTATAGCAGAATCAAAAATGCTCTAAAGCTTTTAGCTTTCAAAGTAGATAAGTTTGCCTCAGGTGAACCATGAAGTTCTCTCTCCTGTGAAACAGACTAAAATGTCAAGCTGTTTTTCCTTTACTTTTCCCTTTTTTTCTGCTACAAGGAATCACAGACTTTTCATTCTACCATGAAAACAAATGCCAGAATTAAAGCACATCAAGTAAGCACTCTTTCAAAATCTTCTAAAATTCAAGGAAGGAAGAAATATAATCATCTAAAAAAGAAAGAGAAGCAGCATTAAAAATCTGACTTCCTGGGTTCACTATTTCTCTAGGTATTTTCCGTGCTTGTTTGATCGGATCTTTCCTTCTTGATGCTTGTCTACAGCACAGATTCATAGTTCCAGACACAACATTTGCAGCTGTACAAGAAGGAAACATATGAAGTATTCCAATCGTTTTATTTGAATAACATTTATGAGCTCAATTAGCTAGTATTTATACCACACTAAGTGAAAAGAGGAAAAAGGAGAGGGAGAAAGAATATGCAGGTTTGATGACCTGGTTAACTCAAGAAGGATGGTGAGGTTTGCTCAGTTCAATGCCCAGACTTGTCCCATAGTTTCTCAACTTATTTACTTCCAGTCATCATTACTCAGCAGAAGGTCACAATTTATTAGTCCATTCACAATCTACTGAGCCCAAAGCAAAACGTGCTGAAGACGGTACATTATTCCTTTGCTGGAACTAAATCAGTTTCCACTGCCCTCTTGATTCTTCTATTTCCCTCACAGCTATTGATTTAGATTGTGGAGGTATTTATTAGGCTTTTTCTGCACAGAGGGTGTTTTTTCTTTCTCTTCTTGCAAACTTTTTTCACCCGTGAAGACCATGTGGAAAGTTGAACATTACTGGCAGGTGTCTTTCCATGGATTACTGATTCCTGTGCTGCGAAGGTGCTCCATCTGGTTCTCAAATTAATTTTCATCAATTGCAAAGCTCTCAGGAAAATGCCAGAGCAAGTCTACACGATGACAAAAACATGTGCGTTTTCATGTACATGCAGTGCACACACCAATCTGGTACTCAGAGCTGCATCTGCCTTTTCAGTTTAGGTGAGGTGATCTTGTAAAACGCCCGCTACTCAAAACTTGAAATCCCTGGATTCTTCCAACTCTGCAAGGCAAAACACACACACACATAAAAAGAAAAAAGTGAATAAAATAAGTCACAAAACAAGTCAAAGATACTGGTAGTACTGTTACACTAATCAAAGTATGATGGTTAAGGATTTTATACTGGACTCCTATAAAATATATTACGTATAGATGAAAACATTATTCAGACATACACATTTGATATGTTTGTATTTGATATACACACAAAGATGAACGACAAAATTTTCTTTTTCACTTCCCAACTTCCCAAAACTTTTCACAATGCACATGTATAGCTAATGAAATGTATCTGGGAAGGATACTTTGGGGGGGAAAGAGGAGGGGGAAGAGCTTTGTCCTGGTCACAGTCTCTGGGGCAAAATCTTAAAGATTTCACAACTTGGAAGTGAAGATGGGGAAGGGAAATGCTAGTGATAGAACGGGCACAGGGTTAGACCCTGAGGCACAAAAACAGAATCACAAACTGGCAGACCTGGAAGGGACTTGTGGACCTCATCTGGTCCAATCACAGTGCCCAAGCAGGGCCACCTGGAGTCAGTTGCCCAGGACTGTGTCCAAGCAGCCTCTGAATATCTCCAAGGATGAAAACCCTATGAACTCTCTGGGCAACTTGTGCCAGTGCTCAGTCATCCTCACAGTAAAGTGTTTCCTTGATGTTTACAGGGAACCATCTGTGTTTCAGTTTGTGCTCATTGCCTCTGGTTCTGTCACTGGATACCACTGTCAAGAGCCTGTCTCTCTCATTTAATTCCCTCCCATCAACCGTACACAACGAAAAGGTCCTCATGCTTTTTCTGCTCCAGGGTGAAGTCTCAGCTCTCAGATTTTCCTCACAGAAAAGATGCTCCAAACCATGAAAACACAGCACTAAACTTAACAGTCTCAAAGAGACTAGGAAGATTCCTCCAGGGCTTAAACTACTGCTTTAAAGAGATCTAAGGTACCTCAAAATTAAAGCTTGAATTTAAAAACTATTCAAATCCTGATTAAATCTCCATTTAAAAAAGAGGAGAAAAATTCCCCAAAGTCAGTTTTATACAAAAGAGTGTAAATAAAGCACAAGAGACCAAGCAAAAGGCCATTCAGGATATTCCAGAAGTTGTATCCAAAGTGCACACATACGTACAGTTATTGCATCTACACAGTTACTGCTAAAAAGAGCTCATATAAATTCAGAGCTGCATTCACAACAGTCAGAGCTGTAAAAATGGTCTTGTCATTATTACATAAAGCACTATACTAACCTCATGTTTCCTGTAATTAACCACTTATTTCATTCTACTATAGATGTATTAATTAATTTTGTTTTAAAAAAAGAGAATAGATAAGAATACAAATTTATAGGCACAAAGATGTAAACACTACACAGTCGGCTGACTTATCAGAAATACTGTCCGTGAGATTCGGTGAGTCACTGCCAGACCTCTTCAGCACTACAAGTCACTGAAGTTTTAAAAATAATAGCTACTGTTAATTTATTTTTCATCATGGCAGGATGATGATATGAGAAATGTCACCCTTCCAAATTTCTGATGCCTATCAATTACAGTCCAGAGAAAGTTCATATATAGGAAAACACAGAAAAACTTTCAAAGTACAATGGTTTGTAGACAAACTTCTGCATTTATCCCATAAGCAAACTTGATCCTCTGAAGGATCAGTGCTGTTGTTTCCATACCCACTGGAATCTTCCTAACAGACACTGGCATTCAAGAGGTGACATTTTATATTAGCTACATGAGAATTACAATGCAAACCTCTACTAAACCTACAGAGAAATTTTTAAAAAAAGTTTACTACGAAAACAAAGTCTCTGAAAAATCAATTAGAGCAGAGTGAGGTAAGCACTAAATAGAATTGTTCGAACTGTACAAGAATCATGAGTTTACAAGTGGATTTTAAAATACAGATAACTATAGATACAGTGTCTTTGCATAAAATCTGTATGCAATTTCTGCCCTTATTCACTGCAGATAAGATTACCAAGTTTGAGAAAAGGACTCATCTGCATCTTGGTCAATAACGTTCTCTCACCTTAGTCCCATTTACAATCACTTTCAAGATTAGACAGACCTAAGGCTTCTCTTAAAAACATCCAAACTGCATTAGAAATGCTGGACAGGGAGAGATAAAAATGTAAAATAACTACAAAAGTAATAAAATCAGTCATTACTCAAATGCATTATTCATGTACTTTCTCAATACAATACAACCTATGAGAATATTTTACCTTTAAATCACTGAGGATCAACACTACCTTTACGTTATATTCAGAGACAAGAAAAAAAAGGACTTTTAAGACTGTAGTATGAAACATTCGAAATTCAGGCTGAATTGAGATTATATATATTATATATTAACTCTTTCCATTCCCTTCTCCATTTCCATCCACTCTGTACTTCCTAAGAAATAACCCAACTAGAAGATTCAAGTGCTAGTCTTTCCTCTAGAAAATCAGTGATTTAGACACTCCCCTTCTGTCACCATTATAGCAGTCTCACAGTTCTGCTCATTTTCATATGCTGAAATCAAGCTTTTCGTCTTGTTTTTCCCCACCAGGGAACACCAGGGTAATGGCTTCCACCTCTGTTGTGAAGTGTGTAATAGCAGAGGATAAAAAGCATGATAGAAGAGCTGGGTGTTACCTGCACAATCCTACCACCAGTCCAAAGTCAGTTTGGGCTCACCACATAAAGAGAACTTGGTCTTCCAGATGGAACTCATTCAAATTACATTTTTAACTGAAGATTTTTTATAATCAAACTTTATGCACCTTTCCTTCCACAGCAGTGTAAGGACTAATCACAAAAGTACACTGCAATCTGATTTTGCTGGTAAATTATTTCTAACACTACTAGAACAATAAATGTCAACAAATTGCCTAGTTTCACTCTCATTTAAAAGATAGTTGAAAATATTTTTTCTCTGGATTTTCCCTTTAACAAAGGAGATGCTACTTGAACTCATCCTCTAATACTGTTGAGTCTAAGTCCAGTGATGTAAAACACTTAACATACTAGACCTGTGACACAGGAAAGCAGGATTCACAACTATTTTATTTCATTTTGTTTTGAAAGCACAGCTCTTCTCAAATGCAAAACCCAGCAGCAAGTTATGTTGCTGCATGATAGAAAACTTAGATACTAATTTAGAAAAAACGAGCTTATAAACAGTAGCTCTCCTATTGTAGTGTCAATATTTAACTCATCATTTTTTATCTTCTGTTTCTATTAACTTATATAAAGTGTGTTAAGCCACAGTTGGACAACCAGAAAAATATTTGTTTGTTCTCATGCATCTTTCATTGAGGTGTCTCTCTTGTTGACAGAAAGAAGCCACACACAGCCAAATGTACCAATACTGCAGCAAGCTCTCCAGTATTTCATGTTTATTCAAACCCCTACTCTTCAAGGCTCCAGAGCAGAGAATCTGAAGGTGAGGATAAAAGGGGACTGGGAAGGGAAGGAAAGCAAAGAAGGAAAACTGAAGTGAGTACACAACTATTCCTGAATTATTATCTCCAAGAAACCAAAACAAATAGAGACTCACAGCCTGCTTTTGGAAGATTCTGTCTGCCCAGACACCTTAAGGAAAGAAATAGAAGATAAAGAGTCTTTGAAAAGAATTCAGGATTTTTCAGCCTAACCGGATTTCTTACCTGCCAAACCTGCATAAGGTCAAAGGAAACTGTAGTTTTCCCTCCCTTTACAGTCTAAGAAGGAAAAAATGTGCATGAGTGTCCACAAAGACAGCAAGGTATTTTAGAAGTGTCAGCCACAACTAGTTTGGCACAAGCTGATGGCAGATGATCCCACCAGCTATCAAATGGGGACTGTGGGAGCAACCTCCAGCACTACTGCTGAACACAACAGTTCAAAATTGGAACATCCAGTAACAGAGTTACTGTATTACAGGCTAAATACTACAGAGATAGAAGCTGGTAAGATTATATAATTTGTTGTTTATTTAGTCCAACCTATAAATAAACAAAAATTATTAAACAATCCTATTAAAAAAGGGAAAGAAAATTAATTAACAAAGCTGACTACATTCCTACAAAGCCTGAAGAAAAAAATTAACCGATTTGGAGGTAAAAGTCTTTTTTCCATTAAAAATTGGCCAATTCCATAGGGAAAAATGTAATTTTTACCTGAATAGGTACTGGTTTTCCTCTGCTTTCATTCACATCTTCTATTTTTACTTTATTCACCTTCCATTGTGGCATAAGTCACTGAGGTTAACACTTTCCTTGCCTATTACAGAGCAATGCAAAATTAATTTGGAGGACGTGATTCTAAATAAATGCCATTAAGCTAACTAGTGGTTATAAAAATGCTCTCTACCCCAAGAAAAAAGAAGGAAGAGTAGAGATGAAAAGGAAGTTAGAAGATGCTTGATTTTTGTTGTGGTTGTTCTTTTTTTTTTTTTTTTCACAGTATTCATCCTTGTGTAAGTCTAGAAGCTCTTCCTCTACTCGGAGACAGCCTGGGCAGGACAGTCAGTCATATTAATCAGAGATGCAGAAAGATCTGCAGCTCCAGCACAGCTGCCCCAAAACAGACTTGCAGCAGAGGTGTGATGCCAGGCACTGTGATGTGACACCAAAAACTGACCAAAATTTACTACTTGGCATATTGAGGGAAGTGAAACTTGTGTAAGAGGCTGTTCAGCAGACATTAGTTGTGAATATTGACAAAATTTATTTCAATGCAATACTCTGACAAACTTATTACCATCTCCTCCCCAAATTACACTCTCAGAGAAGTGAAAATAAAAAATAGTAGTAGCTGAATGAGCCTCATGAATGAGTAGAGAAGGCAATATATCTATGTTGCATACATTTTTTAAAGTGCAAGACCTTTTTCATTATAGCTCTTATATGAAAATAAGAAAAAATATCTGTATTATTTTTAGACCAATTATATTTTTTAAAAGTTAGAGATAATACTTAAGGAACAAATTTTAAAGTGCCTTCAGGAAAATATTTTTCAAGAAAAACACCTAGGGTTTTTAAGCAAACTATTAGAAGATACTGATTCTTGGTTGCCAAGTTTATACATGTTCTCCAAAAGGCAGAGGCCTGCAGACATGAAATACAGCAGGTTGTTTTGAATCCTATGTGTGCAGGAAGTGAAATAAACAGTCATGCTGTTCACAGGGAAAAGAAGATAGAAAAGATAGAAGTACTACAGAACCAACTCAGTCTCAAATCTAAGAGTATTTGAGATATCTGAAGCTAGCAAAACATGCAAGAGAAAATATCCACATTTTGTCGTTTAGTTTTGAAACATTTTCTTTAACAACTACATACTTTTGTTGACTAAATAATATATCTATTTGTGAAAGAACTGATGCACATCCCTTTAACTGGTCAAACGTGCTCATGGGAAATTTCTGAGTCAAA